CTCAAGTTTGTATTACTGTTTTAGATCACTGGACTAAAAACAGTCAACTCTGTTGGCTTTTTATCAAGCTCAAGTAGTTCACCACAACTTGATTCTTACCACAATGAACACACTTAGGCATTCATCAGATTTGTATGATGTAACTAAGAGACTACTAATTAGGTACTGATTCAGAGCTAGTAGTATACAAGTATGAGTTTTATGATTTTTTATTAGCGCCTATAATTTTACAAACTACTAGGTCTCGATGTATCTATTTTAATCACAACCATTCCCCTGTAAAGCTCCCTGACACTCCCCCTTTTCCTTGTATTCACTTCCTCTTCTTGAAGAGTATCCCTTCTACTTTCATGTCATTGTTTAGATTCCACATATTAAGGAGAAGGTGATATTTCTCTTTCTGAGTCTGGTTTATTTTATTTAACATAATGATCTCTAGGTTCTATTTATTTGCTTGAAAATGACATGTTTGATCTTCTTTATGGATGAAAAATACCCCATTGTATATAAACACATAGATACCACATTTTCTTTATTCATTCATCTGTTGATGAGCACCTGGGCTAGTTCCTTACCTTGGCCATTGTGAATTGTTCCACAATAAATTTAGGTATGCAGGTATCCCTATAGTATGCTAACTTTAATTCCTTCAGGTGTACATCAAGGAGTGGTGTAGCTGGGTCAGATGGTAGTTCTATTTTTTTTTTTTTTGGTACCAGGAATCGAACATGGGACCTTGTGCTTGCGAGGCAGGTGGCAGAACCACTGAGCTGAATCCCCAGCCCAGTAGTTCTATTTTTAATTGTTTGCAGAACCTCCATACTGCTTTCCGTGCTGGGCTGTCCTAATTCACATTCCCACCAGCAGTGTAGAAGGCTCTCTCTCTCTCCTCACCCCTTCACACTTCCCAGCATTCACTATGTTTTCTGTTCTTGATGACAGCCATTCTGACTAAGGTGGACTCTCAATGTAATTTTGATTTGTATTTTCTTAATAGGTAAAGATGCTGAACGTTTTTCATATACTTATTGATCATTTGTACTTCTTTTGTATTTATTTTGAGAGGTGTTTGTTCAATTTTTTGTCTATTTTTTAATTGATTTTATTGGTACATTCTAGGTAGACAGTACAGTTACATTCATTACTGGGATCTTGTACCTTTACATGCCAGGTTTTTGTCTATTTATTGATTGAGCTATTTGATCTTTTGGTGTTGTTTTATTTTTCTCATTGAGTTTATTGGTACATTTTAGGTATGCAGTACAGTTACATTCATCATTGGGATCTTGTACCTTTACATGACAGGTCTTGGTTCTCATTTTTTCCCCTTACCCCTGCCCTCCCTACACCCCATCCTCCCTTCCCTATTTACAAATACTTTATTTCCATTTTTTCATTTTGTCATGTTTTTTTTTTCTTTTCCCTTATTTCCTTTTCCCTACCCTTCCCACTTCCCCTACACCTTTAGCCCTTTTCTTCCTGTTTCACATTGTCAATTATACCACTAGGATCTTATGCACCATTATAGTTTTTCACACCAGAGAAACTATTCGGTATTTATACATGTGTGACTTATTTATTTCATTTAGGAATATATCCTCAATACGTATCCATTTTCCTATGAATGACTCATTGAGTTTTAGATACCAGACCTCTGTCAGAAGAGTAGCTGGCAAAGATTTTTCTCCAATTCTGTTGGCTGTTCACTCAGCAGTTTCCTTTGTTGTGCAGAAACTTTTTAATTTGATGTGACCTGATTGATTCTTTTTAGTATATTCTGTGCTGTTGAGACATATTCAGGAAGTCTTTGCCTGGGCTTAGGTCTTCAACTGTTTCCTGTATGTATTCTTCTAGCAGTTTCAAAATGTTGATTCTTTTTAGTATATTCTGTGCTGTTGAGACATATTCAGGAAGTCTTTGCCTGGGCTTAGGGCTTCAACTGTTTCCTGTATGTATTCTTCTAGCAGTTTCAAAATTTCTAATGTTATACACTTAGGTCTTTGAGCCATTTTGAATTGATTTTTGTACAGGATAAAAGGTAGCGATGTAGTTTATTTTCTACAAATGGATAGAAAGTTTTCCTAGCACCATTTGTTGAAGAGGCTGCCTTTTCTCCAACATAATTTTTGGCTCCTTTATCATTAAAAAATTCATAAATTTTGGCTAAAACCAGATGGCTGTAGTTGTGTGAGTTTGTTTCTGTGTCCTCTGTTCTACTCCACTGAACTATATATCTAATTTTGGGTCACTGCCATGCAGTTTTGTTTTGATCAAATTTGGGACACCCCGCACTTGCGAGGCAGGCAGTGGAACCACTGAGCTAAATTCCCAGCCCTGCCATGCTTGTTTTTGTAACTATGGTTTTGTAGTATATTTGAAATTGGGTATTACGATACCTCCAGCCTTTTTCTTTTTGCTTAGGATTGTTTTGGCTATTCTGGCTGGGTCTTTTGTGTTTCTAAATGAGTTTTAGGATTTTTTTTTTTAATTCTATGAAGAATGCCACTGGAATTTTGATAAGGATTGCACTGAATTGGCAGATTTCTTTGGGTAATATGGCTACTTTCACAATATTAAATAGTACTGATCCATGAACATGGGAGTTCTTTCCATTTTCTAGTGTCTTGTTGAATTTCTTTAGTGTTCTGAAATTTCCAGTGCGGAGATCTTTCATTTCCTTGGTCAGGTTAATCCATAGTTGTTTTTTGTTTTGTTTTTTTAACTACTGTGAACAGCATTATTTTCCTGATTTCTTTTTCAGCTAGTTCGTTATTACTGTATAGACAAGCAATTGATCTTTAAATGTTTATTTTGTATCCTATAGACTGATTTTTAACAGATTGCTTTAAGTTTCATGACATGTTAAAACTGCAACTTGAACTTGTGAACACACACACACAATACACACAGCCTTTTTCTAGTACCTCACAGGTAAGTTGCTAGTATTTAGTCTTACACATGGTTTAATTTCAAAGTCCTTCTTGATACCATTCTAGCAGAATTTAAAGGAAAATTTTGCCAATTTGTATTTTTGTAACCATTAAAAGATAAACATTTGTTAAAAAAATAGCATCAGCTATCATTGCAACTGCATGCAATGAAAAATGTACAAAAACTATACACATTTGTGGGACTGAAAACTTGCTGTATGAAAGAGCAAAGTTACAATATGTATCTCAAACTAAGTTCCTATTTAGTAACTCAAAGGTAGCTTTAAATCTTACATTCTCTCTATTCAGCTGTTTTTTTTTTTTTTAATTGAGTTTATTGGTACATTTAGGGATACAGTACAGTTACATTCATTGTTGGGATCATGTACCTTTACATGGCAAGTCTTGATTCTCATTTTTTTCCCCTTACCTCT